ACAGAGCTGGACTTGGCCTTCCTGACAAACTCCCCTTGTTTCATCATATTTGCAAATATGCAAGGAAAGGAAGGACAGTTGACTCCATCCCACCAGCACAGAATTTCTGATCCTGCCCCAGCCTTTGAGAATGGAAGGCATCCTTATCATTTCTTCTCATTTTCTCACTTTCTCATCTAGCCTGTATATCCTAGATGGAAAACAGAGAGGCCATGTGAAAGGCTCCTTCTGTTGGCTCAGACAGAAACTGGGAGGGTTTCCAAGCTCAATTCTGTAGGCTCCAGGAGATCAGATTGTCTGGAGAAGGTCCGGGCACGTATCTGAACGTCAACATGCTTACTAAAGCAAAGTGGAACTCAGAAATTTGGTCTGTCCATCACTGCCTCATATCCCATTCTCACTAATGCTCACCTTTCCTCCCATTAAACCTGAGCTCCACTCTGAACCCAAAGCCACCACAGGAATCGACTGAATGCCACTTACTATTGAAAACAAAAGCAGCACTGCCAAGCTGTACCAATTAGTAAGGTTCTTGTTCTATCTTGCAAAAGCACTGCTAAAAGGAGCAGTGGTGCCTCAAATCTACAAGACATGAACTAATCTGAGCCAAAGGCAACCATGCTCCAATCAAACTAAAAATGCCCTTAGGAGATCCTCTTTGCATGCAACACATGCAGTTTTATTTGCATATCAGGTATTGGATTTGCTATTCTGCAATTGAGAGACTCCATAAAGCTACTTGAGCTACTGGTGAGGCAATCCCAGAGAGTTCACATTCGCCACTGAGCACATTGGCTTTGCAGTTCCTGGGAATACCACACCCTCCTACAGCCACTATCCAAATCGGGATAATAATGCTTTTAGCCACAGTCCAGGCTCCAGACAATAGCTTTTCATTGCTACGCCTTAACCCCAGTGGATCTTTTCAGAGCCAGTGATTCATTTCAGAGGCTGCTGTGGGGTTTTGTCCTCTCTGCCTGCCCTCTAGCTCCACTGGTGAATAAATCCCATTCTACCAGATCAATCACAGTCACTTTACAAAATGAATGCAGGCCTGAGGAGGAGGCGAGTTTCGCAGTCCCTTCTCCCAGATTATACTCAAAAAAGGCTCCAGAATGGAAACACTCTACTTGATCACAGTATCTACCCCAGCCCCATCTGGGCAGAATAAAGTCCTTTTCAAGCAAGCCAACTTGCTAATGTGCTGCAAAGGCAAAAGGCCTTTGGTACTTCAAATATAGAGGAGCGGAACCACATGCCACTTCCCAGGGAGAGTTTAGACGATGAGATGTGGTATACATCAAATTAATGCCAGAATAACCACTGTAGCTGCTGACTCCAGAAAGCATGTTCAGATCCTCCCACTCTCTGTGTACCATTCCTGGCTCCCAGCGCTGGGGTTGGCACAGCAGATTGCTCTGATGGTCAGGCTAACCAGCAGCTCTGCTACGGACGCTCATACCAAACAGGTCTGTCTGCCTGCTGTCAGGGCAGGAGCTCAATTTCATGCCTGACCAGTTAACCCGGGGTTTGGTTTTGTCTTCCCCTCTCCCCTGCCAGGCAGGAGATGTTGGTGCAATTGCCAGGTTTGCTTTGGAGGAGCTCATCTGCAATTCTGGCTGGAGTTCAGAGCCATGGGGATGGGAGGCCCTCATGCCTCCTAAACCAATGAGTCCCTGATGTTGATGGGCATGGATGACAGCTGTTCCCAACTGGATTGTAAAGCCCTGAAGGGCCTGGGGCTGCAAGACAAGGAATAGCCCCCTGGCTCTGGACTGAAGGAACAAATGTGACACCAACCTCTGATCTTTTTCTTTCAGTACAAACACATCAAGCCACACAGTCAGCTTTCAAGTTCTGGCCCAGCATGGGAGTGCTGCAGCAGCTCAGGCTATCCTGAGCATCCATGCATGCATCACAAGCAAACCAGAGAGCTTGCCAGTAATAAATTCGCCTTGCCACAATCTGACAGGCTATCATAAAACACAGTAGTCTTTGCAAAGTCCAATGGTCAGCAAGTAGACAGTGGTTATGGGACATGCAATGTTCCCAGGCTGGAGTGATGTGGGGAAGACAGAGCAGCCTGCGCTGGCTGCAGTGATAGTAATAGTCACTGCAGGGATAAAGCTGATATGCAAAAATGGACCAATGTGATGGTGGTTAAAGATCAGGCCAGGGGGCTTGGGCTGGCATGTTACAGCTAGATGTTACCTTGCCAGCATTCCTGCAGCCTCTGTCTTATGCAATGCCAGCTATATTCACTGCAATTCAATTATAGTCTATAAAAGACAGGAGTAAATCTACTCCTCAGCTCAAGTGCTGACACTGCTGCTTCAAACCTGCCCCTTCCGCAGTCCCCAAGCATCAGTCACCATCACCCTGGGCCAGCCTGGCCCGTCCTGCTCCACCTACTCATGCCCAGGGCCAAGGCTCTGCTCAACACCCTCTTTTGTAATGCTGCCGCTTCCCTCCCCATCTCGCAATGTGCTGCCCATCCTCTTCCACCTCCACAGATGGCCACATCCTGCCCTTCCTGTTTCACTCCTCTAGCTCCCTAGCATTGCCTTAAACCTTTGCTGGGTGTAAGAAAGACCTGAACTCCTGGAGGGTTTGGGGAGTGGTTTGTTTCCGCCGTAGGGACAAAAGAGGTATTGTAATTCCTATACATACATGCGCACACTCCTTGCCCCCATCCAGGACCATGTCCAGCACTCCAGCACTGGAGGAACTGTATTTCATATCAGACACAGGCTCATTTTCACACATTTGGAGTACGTGTCATGCAGCATCTTACCATCTGTTCCCAAGCTGTCTGCCTTCATAAATTTAATTTGCCTGCTCCTTCAGTGGAATGATTTTCAACTGGCCTTATCTCCTCTCCAAAACCACATCTGAGACACCATCCCCACTGCTCAAGTTACTTGAACCTGCCCCAAACACAGCATGTGAGGCTACCACAGGGCTCGCTTCGCATACATGCTGAGGCAGAAGGATTTCGGATAACAATTCTCAAATACTTGAGAAAATGGACAAAAAAGGGACAGGAAGATTAAGTTCCTCAGTGCTGAGTCTGCTTTCAGACTCCTGTGTCCACATCATGGTGTGACTAATTTGCTTCTGCAGCAAATTTCACTCTGCTTTTAGTCCTGAGAATCTTGTGCCTACCCCACACTTTCCTGCTGCGGAGCAAACTTCCAGCTATGCCTCCTCCCCAGGTGCTTTACTCAATACAGCCTTATCACAGAGATAAACCAGAGCAGATGGTTAGGGTTAAAAACACAGAAGAGACAAAATGTGTTTTCAGATAAGATTTGATCTGAAGCAGCAAAAAGGACAAGGAACAGGGAGAGGCCCTGGGAAGGGGCCGATCTCACCAAGGAGCCAGACCCCTGGGAGAGATGGACAGAGAAAAAAAAAGCTCAGATCTGTTTTACAGACTCTGAAAGGAGACTGTGCCCAGAGCAGCTGAGTTAACAGCAGCAGCTGGCCACCACCAGAAACGTGCAGGGTGTGTTACAAACATCACGCATTGCTCCTAAGGTAAGTTCAATAAAAACAAGTGTCACAAGACACACGGAGGAAGGAGCAGACAAGAGAAGTTGTCAAGGTATGAAAGCTATAGAGCTCCTTGTTTTTCCTGCTGCTCTGGATCTGTCCTGGAGAGAAAGAAGTACATTTGGAGGAAGGCTACAAAAGCTAAGGCACACAGCACCCTGACCGAGGAGTCATTCCAGCAGATCACAACAGAAGACATTCAGAGATTGCCAGGAAAGCACAAACCAGCTTGGACTCTCCGTGCACATAGCATGAAACACTTGGGGGTCTGCTTATCAAAGGCTGAGGACTGATTTTCCAAGATTTTGGCTAGTCTCATCCCCCACCCCAACAGCTCCAAGTGGAAGTGGATAGATATAGAAAATGAAGAAAGACCCAAAATCTACCAGACCCTTAACTGTAAATGCAAAGGGGTCCATGAAGAGAGCAGAGGGATAAAGAACTACTTTTTCCCCTCTGCCAGCTCAGCTCTATCACTCATACAAAGCCATGACGGAGTTACCTGCACTGATTTCACGCCACTTTTAACTGATCTCTGCACAGAGGGGAGCAACTCCACTTCCATGTTTAAGAGACGATCAGCAGCTATACTCTTGTTGCTTTAGGAGAAAGCAGCCCTTCACCTCCCTACACCTCTCCCTGCCAGCTCTCAACGGCTGCCTATGGAACACGGCGCTCGGCCACCCCAGGCAAACCCCGGCGCCGGTAACCTGGCGGCTGCCGTTCTGCCGGGGACGCTCTGCCACCGGCCGGCATGTCCTGCCCTCCCCAGCGCTGCATCAACGTCGGAGCACACCCGGCCCTACCGAGGGGCCCCAGAGCTGGGGACAATCACTCACCGTGTATCCTCCTCCCCGCGCCCGGCCAAGCCGAACCCTCGGTGAGCCGCCGGCCCAACGCGGAGCTACGCTGCGGCCCGGCCGCCCCCCGCCTACAGCGCTGCCAACGGCGGAACCGGCCTCGCGTGGGACTCAGGGGGCGGTGCCGGCCGCCGCCGCCGAGGCCAATCAGAGAGAGTCAAAGCCGTGACACGTGAGGGGGCGGGCAAAAAGGGGGGAGCGCTAACCAATAGAGAGAAAGAAAGGCGGCTTAGGGGCAGGATAAAAGCGGCTCAGAACGCTCTGGGTCCTAAAGCCCGCTGTCTCCCGTTTCAGCTCGGAGGAGCGATTCTGCTCCGCGATTCTCATCCCCCCGTGCATGCGTGGCCGCCCCACGCCGGCTGGGTTGGCACTTCCCGGGGGGTTGCGGATCCTCCCCTTTGTATAGCCGCGGAGACGGCTCTTCGGCTTCTTCTAGAGCCGTATCCTCACGGCAGAAACGCTTCCATCGTCCCCCGAGTCAGCGCTCTGCTGGGTCGCCCTGGGAAGCAAGTCATGCTCCCAGCCCCACGTCCCGAGCAGGATCGGCACCTCCCGGTGAGTTGTCCTTGCGTGTGGCTAGCTCACCTTCAACCCGGGCTCCCATCAGATGGCAAAAGTTAGCAAAGCTCTGCAGAAGTTCAGGCAGATTGTGAACTCTCCATCCTCAGCTCAGCAGAACTTCAGTCCATGGGGAGCATGGAAGACTCCCACGGGGTCCCTTTGCCTGCAAGGATTTGCAGAGCTGGGGATCAGATGGGAACGGCTGGGTCCATATCCCCCAGGAGGGAACAACCAGGCAGTGCCTTCAGCTGGAAGAAACAGGGGACACACACTTTAAAGTGCTTCCTTTAGCACCATGGGCCAAACGGGGGAAAAAAAGGCTCATTTAGAAACAATAAAGTTTTTTACCTAACACAAGGAGGAGCGCTGGTGGCAGTACTGCCTCTGATCCCTGCTCGTGTTTTCCAACCGGGAGGCACAGCAGGTAGTGGAGGAGCTGGCCTGTGGCACCATTTCCCTCTAAGTGGCAGTGCTTCCCATGGGACATCTGTAATATTTCAGCTACCAGAAAAAAAAAGAAGCTGAAAGCTTTATTGGATACACAAATCCAGGCTACACAGAGGAGGCAGGGAAGAGGTGTTCCTTGTCTTCTCCCACGACCCCATTTCTCCAGGGCCCTACTCCCTGTACTCAGTTGTAAGTATTCGGTAATAAGATTCAAGTAAGAAACTAACACTTCTACCAAGTGTATCTCCCCAGATAATAGCTGGATGGAAATACCCAACTCCAAAGTGTGCCAAACCATCTGTATACCCAGGAGTGGGCTATTTAGGGGCTGCTCCTTCCGACCTATAAGAGAAATATGAGTTTCCCAGTGAAGTAACTGCTACTGCTTGTCCTTGCTTCACAGTGATGACTCCTATGAAGTGCTGCCTAGACAGCCAATTTTACATGGTATGCACATGGGAGGAGGTGGGAGGTGGCTGCTATGACGATACATTGAAGCAAAAATCCCGATAAATACATAATTCAGTCCTTTCTTCTCTTCCCAGGTTGAACAGATCAGCTTCAGCTGGCAGAGTCTGTGTATGGTAAATAACAAAGTACATTGAGGATGTTGAACTGTATCAAATTCCAGGGTTTTTTGGATCTGTGATGTTCCAGGTCACTGCAGTTTAACTCTTAGAGCGCTGCTCTCTTCCCAGCTACAAGCACAGCTGCTCTTGAAGAGGCTGAAAATTGTCCTGGGGCCTGTTAATGGCTTTAATGAGCTGTTCAGGAAGACCACAGGGATTTGTGCAAGAGGCTGATGTGGTGGCATCCTGACTGCATCTGTGAAACAACAACAACATGAAAGGCAAAATTGATTTTCCCTTTTACTGCAGAGTTCCACTCAGCTGCTGGAGTCTGAGAGAGCTGTGGAGCAGAATAAGGGCATGTTTCTTAATTCCAAAGCGCTTTTCCACTGCAGACTCTTGCTCTAGCAAGCTGGGTGTGTGAATCCAACCTGGCAGGGAGAATTCATGGCAGCTGCCTGTCATAGGGATCTACAAAGCTCAGAAGAGCTCTCTGCAAAACTCTACCTGAAAAGATGCTTCTAAGACACAACGTCTAATGCTAATCTCCTACCCACCAGCTTTCTAGCTGTGTAACTCACTCCTCTGTCTCTGGCAGAGCTAAAGAGTGGGCAGTTCCAGCAGAAACTGCAGGGAACATCCTGTGTGCTGTAGCGATGCACACATCTGGTGTTAAGATGCTCAAGCAGATGGGTTTAGGATGCTAGCTTTTGTTCTGAGGGAGCAGCAGAAGGCCAGATATGGCAGTGGTGGGCACACAGACTGGCAACTAACTCCTCACTGTGAAGGAGAATCTGAGCCAGCCATCTGAGAAGGCAGGAAGAAAACAATGGGAATGCTTAATAGCAATGGAAAAAGTGGCAGACATTTTAAAATGTTTTTAAACCTCTTGTTAAAGAGGATTTAAGGACTAAGCATGTGTAGGGAAAAGGAACTTTATTTATGATGAATGTTAATACCAGCTCCTTACATATGATACTGGCCTCAAGCATCCCTGAGGGTATTTGAGGGACTAGTGCTGTGGTTATGATTTCAGTGGATAGGGGAAATGCTCTTGCATTATTAAACAAATCATGCTCTGTGCTGGCCTTTGGTTTGCTGTATGTAACATGCAGTCAGTGTTAGCCACCTGGGGGGACAGGATTCCACAACTTGTTGGCATTTTGAAAATAAGTTGGAAAACTGCTGACTGAGATCCCCTCCTTCATCACAACCTGTCAAAGGGAATAGGGGTTAAATCTTCTAATCTGGGGGAAAAAAAGCCAAAACTAACAAATTTTTAATAAATAGCATTTACCCTTTTGCCATATTTGTTTAGCATAACATTCATTATGGATGGAACATTTAAATGTTTGCGAAGTTGAACATTTGATTTGACTTGTTATAGAAATCAAACCTAATTGCCTGGTTCCCATTAAATCCTCACTTTCCCAAAGGTGGAGAGTCAAAAGATTTATTATTTTAGATTCATTAGATGTTTTTATCCATTTGTATCATAGATCTATCTCCTGGAGTAGTTGACTAAGTAGATGATGTTCATAGAATCAGCAGGAGGGGTAAGATCTGGCCAGCAAACCATGTCGACTTCTTTGCATCTTGTGTTTTTCACTGAGCATTCTGTTCCCATCCTACAAACCCCAACTGTTCAAGGGGTTAAATAACAAAAATCTAGTGGTTTCCTCTCTAGGTCACTGGTCACAGTCCACCACGGGTCATGCCATGACCAGCTGACGGCTGCTAAGTGCTCTGTGTGAAATCAGTTTAGTGGGTCTGAAGCCAGATGCTAGTTGACAGATGCCCAAAACTCAGTACTCCAATTGGCTTCCTTGTTGGCAGTCACAGCAGGCTGGTCAAGGCCATGCAAATTCAGCAGCTCCCCGAGGGTAGGAGCACAGACAAGGTTGCTTATGAATGCTTCCCTCTGTTGTGAATGCCAAAAGTCTTCAGAGAAGGTCACAGTACAATGCTGCGGGTGCCAGTGGCTGAGGACCAGGCTCTAATTCAGCTATCCAGGGAAGTGGTGGTAGGAAAACACTGCTGAAGACCTCCAGCAGACGCACCCCTGATGTCAAGGAGAGGATGTAAGGTTGCAATGGGAGTCTTGATGGAAGTTTTCACCCTTTGGCTTGCCCTGCCCAAGGAGCTGCCAGTCAGACTACCCCAATGTAGCATTCCCTGCAGGAACAATAAAATCCAATCTCCCTCCCTCTCAGCCTTTTCCTCCTGATGCCAAATTTAAATGACCTTACTTTTTTGGCAGCAGGAAACTTCACAATTAAATACAGAAGCAGAGCAGGCTTTCAGATGGAACTTACAGCAAGGGAACAACAGATGGCATTGTTTGCTGGGCTGGAAAAGCTGCATCTGCTCCTAGAAGAAATGCTAATCGGAGCTCAATTAGGCAATCAGGGGGAACCATACCCCATCCTCAGGACAATGGCCATGTGTACATGATCCTGAAAAACACAAGGAAGTAGATACAAAGTCATCAAAAATCCCCTCTGGAACAAGTCCAAATGAAGCATATAATGGGATAGGGTAACCTACAGAGTTTCCTTGTGCTGAAATCCATCCGAGCCACTCAGAATAAAAATGTAATTAGCAAAGACTTATTGTATTTAATTTGCAAGTGGGCAGTGATTTTGTTTTCAGTTTCAAAGCAGATAATTCTAGCATAACACTGGTATCAGATTCTACCCTGGTTGCTCTCTGAGGTGTGGCAATATTAAAGGGTAGCTGAGATCTTTATAGCGAGTACCACAAGTGGGGATGATAGAGTTAGAAGGATCTATAACACATACCTTGCCTAGGACAACTGATCCCTTTATAGAAACACAAAGGAAGAAAATAAGAGGATGGTGAAAAATGTTCCCTGCTTCGCTCCAACTGGGTGTTCAAGCACAAAATGAGTCCCGTGGCATGCAGTGCCTGTGAATGGTCTAGAGCAAAGCACAGGACACTGTTCCTCCTTCCCTCCCTCAGCCCTTCCAGCTTCCTCCAGAGGTGCAGGCAGGCAAGGCTCTGTGTGTTCTTGTTTCAGTGTCTTCTGTTTAAGGTATTAAACCACCACCCCAGTCTGGCAATGCTGTTTGCAAAACAGGGCTACCAAGAGGTGGCCCCAGCTGCCAAACGTGCTGGCACTGCAGAGATCCCCATTGTGCTGAAGCTTTGCATTCAAACCCCATTCTTGTTTTAATATCCTCTTTCTCCCCTAGCTGGGGTCATGGCAGCACACCCTGGCTGCTCTGTTTATCTGGGTGCACCATGGTACATCACGGGACAGCGTGCACCTCATGGGTAGTTCTAATGGGGACTCCCCCCTCTTGCTGGTTGCACACCCTACTCCTAACGGCCCTGGGAACATGCTGCATGGGTAAACCAACACCCAGGTCTTTTGCACCTGAAAGATGTTCATAAATAGGATCGTTACTGATTTCAAACAATACACTCCAAACATTGGCAGAAAACCACCAGAGATCAAAGGCATTTTGGAACAAGTGACTTAGAGCTGTTGTAAAGGAAAGGGTTTTCTTGGCACTGGGGCAATTTACAGAAACTCCAAAGAGTGGTGAAGAGAAATGTAACAGGACCCTAAACCATTTCTGCCTTCAACGCCATTCTGCTTCAGAGGGATGTTGAATCCTGGTCTGGCACAAACCTCAGGGCAACTGAGAAAAGGGGTCTTCCTGATAAACGACTTTGCTGCATATGCTGAAGCTGTAGGCACTGATCATCCTTATTCCAGGGCTGCTGTGCCCCACCACTGCCACAGTTTCAAGCCCCTGGCTTGGCTAGCTGGCTCTAAACAGCATCTCATAGACTTTAAGTGTGCTCTGTATCTGAATAAAGATCCTGACCCCCATCATGTCTCTTTGAGAGGAACCTTGGAGATTTGCTGACTGTTTGCAGCTCACTGACAGCAGATTTATTACTGCTCTAATTTGGAAGAGACTTCTCCGGTGATGGAAGTAGTGGCTGTATCCTTGTGCTGACCTGGAGCTGGCCTTCTCCTGAGCACTGTGGCCATGGGGGTCTGGGCAGGCAGAAAAGCATCCACTGCAGGTGTCCAAGGTCACAGAAATTAGGAAAGGCCATGGGCAAAAGTTCATGCCCTGGAGATGGTATGATCCAACCTGTCTTGGCAGAGCATCAGTGGGCTGCATGAATCAGGTCTTCCTATGCAATGCAGGTGGGTGGATGGGTTGTCCCTTTCTCTTCAGAGGAAGCAATCCAAGCAATCATTTTCTAGCATTACCTTCCTGTGGTGGAGGTTGAAACATCCAAGGTGTCAGAGACCCTTGCCTCCTTCTGTTCACTGCCTAAGCACTGATAGGATTGGAAGACCTAGCAGCTAAGTTGAAGGAGAGACATCCTCACACCACGAGATAGTGCAGATGAGCCCAGCCTGCCAGCACAAGCCTTGGACTCAGCTAACTTGTGAATTGAAGCTCAAATGGCCAGCACCACAAGGTCTCATCTTTCCAAGGACAGCTAAAGAGCTGGTCTCAGCTCATCCACCTGTATCAGCACATGGGGCTCAAAGCAGGGCTGCTGCTGACCCAAGTGTGAAGCTTTCCAGTGTTCACAGTCTGAGAGCAGACTTTGGCAGGCTGCCTGGGGTTTTAATGTCTGTGTTTTAGACCCAGACTTCCTGCTGAGCAGTTCCAGAGGGAAAATAAATAAATAATCAGAAAGCACTCCCAAGAACCTCATTTATCCATCAATGGCCAGTTTTGTGCCATCGCTTGAATATGAGCAAGGCAGAGACGAAGCGTGACCGAGGCACACTTGGGGCTCTTGGCTGCCCTCTTTGGCTAGCAAGCTACCAAAAGGAGCCAAGGGGCTGCAATGGAAGCAGCAAGTGGCTCCAGCTGGGCAAGGGTCCTGACAGCATCGTGTTAGCAGGAGAGAGGACACACTGCCTTGCTGTAAAGTAGGCCCAATATTGTGTCAGTGCTTCCTATTCATTCCCAGGACTTGAAGGCTACTTCCCTGTGTTGTCCACCTCCATGACGCAGACAAACCCACAGACTTCCTCCTTTTGGCAAGTGCAGGAACTAAAAGGTGATGCCAGGAGGTTCTCAGGACCCTTCTTCCCAGCAGAGTAGCAGTGAGTTGCTGTCCTGAAAATGAGGTCATTTATTGCCATGTTAAGCGGGGCAAGCTTAAGGACTCCAATCTGGCCTTGTCTGAACATTGCTTTCCAAACCTGACCTGTAAAAACACATTCCCAGCAGTGCCAAGGCTCAGCACCCGGGACTTTTGGAGCAGGATTTCTTGTTCTCTCAGAAAGGATTACGAAAGAGTGCATCTATTGAAGAAAAAGGGAAAAGAGACAGTTAACTATTGCTGTAGAGTCCTCTAGTGGTGAATATTCCACAAACCAGCCGAGCGTGCCCCCATGTGAACTCAACCCCCCCAT